TGTGCATTTACTCAATAATTAGGCATGTTCACCAAAACCAGGATTCTGATAAAATTGAAATTTGACTAATTGCATGGAACATTTTATGATATAAAAATGGTCATAAAGCATTTTATGACATAATACAAAACAACATAAAACATCTAACATCATAAAACTTAAAAAAAAAATATTTCCAATGGTCAACTCCTAATGTTTGACTGTGTTGTATGGTTCAACATGAGTTACTTTTAAGGCAGATAATTTCTGAATACCTCCCTGATGTTTTAAGAACATTTATTTGTCTGTTTGTATACTTCCTTCATTATTTTTACAGATAACTCAAGGCAGCAAACATATCCAACACATATTCCTTCTCCAATTTTCTTGGTTGTTGTTCAACAACAGCCCTGTGAGGCGGGTTGGGCAAGAGATTGCTTGACCTAAAATCAACCAGCTGGCTTTCATGGCTAAGTTGGGACTTGAACTCACGGTCTCCTACTTTCTAGCCTGTTACCTTAACCTCTAGACCAGGGGTGTCAAACTCTCAATGTCACGTGACGTGTCGCGACGTATCGCAACTTTTTTTCCCTTGCTGGCAATGGGGTGGGCGCAGTTTCAGCATGACGCATCTGGCCCGCAGGCCGGCAGTTTTGACACCCCTGGTCTAGACCAAATTGACTGTTGTTTATTTTTTCTTTTAATCTATTTATTTACATCTTATTTTCAGTTGTATTGTAAAAGATGTAGAGATAGCAAAAATATGCAAAAGCTGTTAAAAGATAAGAGATAATAAAATCTTAACCCTGAGAAACAACTCTTACTGCAAATGTTAAATTTAAGAGAAATGAAAATAAAGTAAACAATAAAACACTATAGAAAGCAACAATATTGAGTTATAGTTGGGAAGGATAATTAGGCTATTGAATGAAGTCCTCTGTTCAGTGCCCTTTTAGGTTGGATTTAATTGAAGTTCCCTCCCCCTGGTGACTCATATGGAGCTGGGATCAACTACAATTCAAAGATCATTTCCACATCTTCCATCCTTTTCTTTTTACAAAAAGAAGTAGTTTGTCTCTCAAATTCCAAATCGTTATTTTCTGGCCACTACTCTTATGTATACATTATCTTGATTTTTGTTTTTCTCCTTTAGATACTTAACCATCTCACTGGCTTTTATATCATCGCTAATTTGATAAGTATCTAAGTCATTGATAAAAATATAGAAAATTACCAGGACCAAAACCTGTGACATTCCTTTTCAGTAACCCACTCCACTTTAGTGAGAAACTATTAATCAGCATTCTTTAAATACTTTTTAAACTACTATGGACCCACCTAATAACATGTGTTACCCAGTTCATATTTGATCTACTACTTAGAATAATAAAGGGCTTTGCCAAAACAAAATACATTATATGCACAGCATTCCTATGATCTACTGAGGAACCTATCCTAACAAAACTGAAATTAGATTAGTGTAAAATTACACAATTCCTTTTAGATTTTTAGCAAACATTGCATTTTTTCAAGATGTTTGAAGATTAGTTCTTTGTTGTTTCTGAATTCTTCTCCCCCCCCCCTTTTCGTAAACAGGGATATTTGCCCTCCTCTAGACATCTGGTAGTAAATCATTTCCCAAGAGTATTCAGAAATAATGAAGAGAGGTTCAGCCATACTATCAAGGAAGTTTCTTCAGTATTCTAGGTTGTAATTCATTTGGTTCTGAAATTTGTAATTACTGAAAGTCAGTAGGTGTTTTCTAACTGTGTCTCTTTCAAGTTCAAGCTGTCATCCTTTTTCAGCCAGTAGCATCTGCAGGAACTTGCCAGTTTCATCAGAATGATGAAAGCAAAGTCACACTGCAAGGTCAGCTTGGGTGAACGTGCAAGGTCACAACACATATAGAGAAGGAGTGGGACCTGCATGGTGATGCTGTGCTATCATCCTGATTCCCTCCTCCCAACTTACCCAAATACGGCTGTGTGCAATTTACTTTTCACAATTGCCCAGGTCAATGCATTCACGCTTGCTAAGAGTTGAATGGCTTTGCCTTTTCTTTGCCTTTGGGTAATTTTCTGTCATTTTTATTCAGTAGCTATATACGGTTCCTTTTTTCTCCTTATTTTGAATGTAGAAGTAAGAGATTTTTTTTGTTATCCGTCATTAACTTTAGCTTGTTTTGAATGTCTCTACAATTGTGTGTTGCCTGCATGTACGATATCTTGTTAATCTCTACTCTTTCTTGTTGCATATATATCCATATTGATTTACAGACCTTTACAAAGGTCCTTATGCAGATTTATTGGCTTTTGCATTTCTTTCATCTCGGGAATTTATTTTATACTGTGCTTTTAATTCCCCCTTTATTAGGAAATTCCACCCTTTTGAGCTTTTCCTTTCTCAGATTCTTCTATCATAAAGTACAACTTGCCATCACTAAGTGTATTAAAATTTGTTTTCTTGAATTTTTATTTAATCTTTGTCCTTTTTAACCTAATTTACATAAATTGGGTATGTAAGCCAGTTAAAGTTGGTTTCAGTTGGACCTGCATATAACTGCTGTAATTAAATCAGTATGTATTTTATATTTGTCTTTAATTTTTTTGTAAATCAACCATTACATGATCACTTTTCCAACTTGTTAGGAACCATTCAGTTGATTCCCTACTGTATTCTTTATGGCATAAAGTTGTCCTATCCAGTTAAAAATGCCAAAGAAAATTATGTGGAAGACCATTTTGAGTAAAAAAAAAATTCTATGGTTTCTGCTTTATTAAATTAAACTAGAGTCTTCATTAGAAAGATGCACATGATTAGATTGTGTAATGATAGAGAATTGGAAATAAAGATAAATCATCAAATTCGAATAACTATGAACATAAAATCCAGAGTTGCTAGAAGAAGCAGATACCTAAGGCTTAAAATATGGAAATAAAAGAAAGTTGATGAATTTACTGAATACAGGATATATTATATGGCTTTTTTATAATGTGAATGCTGTTTTCTTTAGTCTGTAGATGGCAGTAATTTGCTACAATAATGATACGTTAAGGCTTGCAGATTTAACGAGTGATTTTAATGCCTTGATAAAACATATACATTAAAATGTATTCATAGGAACCACTGTAATTAGAGCCCAATATAATTCAGTAGGTTGACTTGAATATAGGAAGCCTAGTTTTTTGTTCATATATTGTATTTTTGGCAGCAAGTAGCAGGCTGTTATTTATCAAGTCCCCAAGCGTTATCTTTTAAAAATAATGCTAATACTGACTTTTTAAAAGTAAAATATTACAAAGGGCTCTGAATGTTAAAGCTTGGTTTATGGGAGAAGGTAGAGAACTGAGTGTCCTAACTCCTTTAACACTGTTGTAGTATGGTGAATTCTTAGTGTTGATTCACAGAAATCTTTTTTCATGTTTTATTTATTGTGTTGAAGAGAAACGTTTATATTTATATTGATTTATAAAATTATATAATATTTATATATATTGTAGAAGCTACTTTATTTTTATTTTAAATTATATTACCAAACTGTAGTTATTTGTGCCATATATATTCGCTGATAAACCCTGCTTCAGATAAGCTGACTCTCGGGTTTTTAAACAAAATACCATGAAAAATACCACTCCTTATATAGTACAATATTATCATATAACTTGTGCATAAACTGAATTTAATTCTCGACTTGCCCAAGAGTATATATGGTATTTCTTACTAGCATCCCTGCACTCCCATGATCAGAATCTGGGCACCTGGCAACCTGCTTCTTATTACAGCATCCATTTCTTGAGTTAGCAGCATCCCAGAAATGGCCTGGTAAAGGACTTGGTGTTGCTGTGAGGAGCTAGGTTAACTATATTGCGTGAATGTGTGGTGTGGTGTGAGAGGGAGGTAAGTAGTGAGGGGTAGAGTGTGTCAACCTGGGAGGGAAGCAAGGGGCATGAGGGAAGTAAAGGAGGAGAAAGAAAAAGCATAAACTCTGAGATAGAGTCAGGTACAGGTAAATATCATAGGGATCTGATGGTGGGCTGCACTTGGGTTCTCACTTTTTGAGAGAGCTCATGACACCCAGCCCTCAGTATTCACCCTTTTTACTAGGTTACCAGATCCTCATTGTCTGTCCTTGCATTAAAACTAAAACCTAGTTAGGCCCAGAATGGGGAGTTCCCCTCTCACAAATGTGCCTGCCCAGATTTCATGGTTGGTGTTATCCTAAGCCCAGAGCTGAGGGAGTTAGGTGGCTATTGTCACTTATGAGGCTTTAAGAATTTTTAAAATTTTGTGCTAGATAACTGAATGTAAGACATTTTGGTTGAAGTTGGGATCTAAGAAACAGGCAGTACAACAGGACAGGCAGTCCTATTGTACTGCCTGACCTGCTGCCTAGTATCATCTCTGCCCTTCCTTCTAGATTCCATTGCCTGCCTGGCTCTGATGACCCCAAAGTTGTTAGTCTTCAGGAATTTCAACTTGCTGCCAGACAGAGTCCTGGGAAAGTCAGGACTTCACAACCACCATGGAGCTAAAAGACTGATTGTACTAGTGGGAGGGCTTTAGGTCTGTTGTTTTTGTCTCAGAACAGTTGCAGTGTGATCCGGTAGTCGAGGATTTTACCAGCTGTAGGTTGCCATGGTCTGATAACTTTTTGATTGTCTTTTGGCTTCTGTTATGCAGGGAGATAGGGTCTATTCAATTGATCATCCCATGCAACGTAATCTTAAGATTATCCTTGAGAAACTTTATCACAGTCTGGAATGGGCAGATGTAAAAGCCTCAGACTGCATGGTTACTATTGGACCTTTCCCTGTGTGCTCTTCGTGATCTAGGGCAACACCCTGGTTTTCCAAGGAGCTGCAGGTGATGAAGCAATTGAAGAAATGCCTGGAGTGCTTTTGGAGGAAGTTGAAGAGCAAATCTACAGTAATTGAACCAGGAACTTCTGTTCAAGATTATATTGTGGCGATAAGGGCAGTGAAATGTTATTTCTCCTTTGTAATTTTCCAAATGTTTTTCAGGACGTTTTAGAAAATTCTTTGAACCAGGAGTTCACTGTGGAGAATGTGCTTTCAATACTTCCAGCATTTCCCAAGGGTGCCCCTCAGCAGCGGGCTAAAAGAGCAGTAGACGCCTTAGTAAAGGCTCAGAATTATTCCAGGCAAATGTCCATGCAGCAGGTGAGTGGATGTGAATTTAATGCACTTAGCTTTTTAGACTGAGAAGAAAAATTCAATTTTTTTTGTACTTTGCAATTACTGGGCATATTTTTCTTACTACAGGTAGTCCTCAACTTAAGACCAGTCATTTAGCAATCCTGTAGCCATGTGACTTGCAAACTACATTTTTTTGCTAGAAACTGGCATTTATTTTTGATTTCCAGCAAAAAATTACCACTGTAGACAATTGATTCACTTAAAGTTTGCTGCAAAAGTTGTAAAATTGGGTGTAAAAATGGCAATCTACTTAACAACTGGCCTGACCAGCAACTGTAATTCCAGGCTCAATCACGGTTATAAGTCGAGGACTACCTGTAAGCTAATGCATGAAGGTATTCCATTTCTTTAATGAAATATTTATGGCTTCCTCACTATTCTAAGGATTGCCTGGTGGGCTGAAAACCATAATATATGTAAGATAAAACAACATGCAATAAAATATATAATAATGCATACAATAAAACAACAGTGACCATAACAAGGATGGACAATCACCAAATGTTCTGATGAGTTCTGATGTTAACATCTAAATGTTAAGTTAAGTAAGAAGTTAGGTCTTCCCCAGTACCAAAAAGCCAGTAGTATTCAAATGGTACTGTGCATTGTGGTCTCCCATAATNATTGGGAGAGATGCTTTTTCAGTAATCAAGAAACAATTTAAGTGAAGTCTGGATATTGTGTGTGAAGACAGTAACAATTTAACAATGCTCAGTAAATTAAATCTTCAACTTCGGCAACAACAGTTAGGTCAAGGACTTTCAGTTCAGTTATGGTTTTAGTTCCCTTTTTTCTTTTAGAAGGAGAACCATAATCCATCGCTGCAGCACATGCTATGAATAATATGAAGTCCCAAAGTCAGTTCTTGATATCCTTAATGGAAAGAATCTTGGGAAGGACTGAGAAGAAAGATTAGAAGAAGCCTCAAATGTGCCAGTAATGTTAGAAAAACCATTGCCTGTTTTGTAATAACATAGATAAAATAAAGTAGAAGGTTCAGTCTCGTGATTCAGCAGCTCTTTTGTATCCTTAAAAGGTAACTTGGAATAACAGAAATGTGATGCTGCTGCTTTGAATATACACAGTTGGATATGTTTACATGAAATCATGCTATAATTTTAGCTACACAATTTTAGCTATCTAGGCGCTTCTAGTTGTTCATTATTACCTATTGCTGTAACAGCTTTAAATAACTTCTAATATTAAATTGTTTATTTGAAGCTGAGACACAAAAATTAAATTTGGACTTACATATTAAAATACAACTATCTAGCCCCTGAATTACTTTAGAATTAAAATAATAACAAGGTCTTTAATTACCCATTAACTGATAAAAATTGAGACTTAATCTGTTTAATTGAGAGCTAACTGGATTAAAAATATATGTGGACAAAAGTTGATAGCTGTTTAGCACTGTTCTAAATATTGGTCTGTGACCGCAAAATAAAAATTATTATTATTATATTTATGTGAGAAGTTAGAAAGTACTAATAAGTTAGGGAGAGCATTGCACAGCAGGACTTTTTCAGTTTTTTCCCATTGTCTTTACCTTCAGTTATTATAGGTGTCATTTTCTTCTGTGTAACTGAGTACAGGTAGTCTTCGATTTACAACAATTCATTTAGTGACCGTTCAAAGTTAACAATGGTACTGAAAAAAGTAACTTATGACCGTTTTTCACACTTTTAACTGTTGCAGCATCCCCAGGGTCACATGATTTACATGGTTCCTATTTAAGACTGTTGCAGTGTTCCGGGGGTCATGAGATCATATTTTGCGACCTTCTGACAAGCAAAGTCAATGGGGAGGCCAGATTCACTTAACAACTGTGTTACTAAATTTAACAACTGCAGTGATTCACTTAACAACTGGGGCAAGAAAAGTCATAAAATGGGGCAAAACTCACTTAACAAATTTCTCACTTAGTAACATTAATTCTGGGCTCAATTGTGGTCATAAGTCGAGGACTACCTGTATCTTATGTGTGTGTGTGTGTGTATGTTTCTGCATATATAATTTGGAGGACAACTTTACATATTTTCTCTCTAACATTCCGTTAGGTTAGAACCAATTTTAAAAATCAAAATACTGCAGTATTCTCATCATACTTTGATTTGTTTGTTTATTTTTGATATGAAACTTTAGCATGCAAGGTGCAGACTAACTCTAGCAAGAAAGACACCATCAGGATGGTATCTTTGGGATCTAGTTCACTAGAGTTTTCTAATAGAAAAACCAATCTGCTCTTTATTTTCAATTGTTTTGTCTTGGAACCATTTTATCTTTTGTCTGGGAAAGTACATTAGATCACTAAAATAATCTGACTGCTAGCTCAATAAGATGGCCAATATCCCTGAAGTCAAAATTGTCTCAGACCCATTTCATAATATTTATTTTTTCCATAGACTATTGGATTCTCCCTGCAGGCAAGGAAAATAATATTTAATGACTTTCTGCAAAGAATGTGTCTTCATTTTTCTCTTCTGTGGTACCTTGGATGTTACAGCACAATGTATTAGTAGCAAGTTGTATTCAAATTTAAGCCTAAATTCCCAGTCTGTTTATATTATTCCGCTGCCTACACTTAATTCTGTCTCAAGGATTTCATGAATCTTGTGTAGTGAAAAATATTTTCAACACAAATGGAATAAAGATCAGTGTACCCCCCAAAAAATTATCACCCAATAAATTGTACTTTAGAAAGTATAATGTATTTTGTTGTAACAGTCAACTCTCTCTCTTCAGCTACACAAACTGAAGCAGAAAAGAGAAAGATTGCTCCTTAGAATACAAATGAATCTTGCCATATAAGTCTTTTCTTATGACCTTGTAAACTAAAGCAATCTATTAAAAATGTAATTTAAAATGTTTTAGGGAAACATTGCATTTAATGATTTTTTAAAGCAACTTGACAAATATTCAAAATACCTTCTAGATTATTTTTTGTATATTGTTTGGGCAATATTACAGTATCATGTTTATGGATTAGAGGTGTTGAGTAAAAGCAAATCCTACCAGCTAGCACTTTCGAAGTTTGGTTAGTAACTATACACTACACCTACACCGCTACTTCAACAACATTAATAGGCCTAGGCTGTCTAATTTCCTGATTTGATCTTCCTGATTTTTAGTAAGAAATTTAAAATGACACGGTGATTATATCTTCACTTTCTCAAGAATGGTATATTTCAGGATTTATTTCTTCAATTGACAGAAAGAGCACAAACAATTGTCCCCTGCTTAATATACAATATAGCTTTCTTCATATGTAGACATAAAATTCTAAAAAAAAGAGCAATTACAGCAACATTTTAATCAGTTAAGTTAAGGAATTGGGTCTGTAGTATAACAATAAACAACTGAGCTTAGAAAGGGTGTGTGTGTGTGTGTGTGTGTGTGTGTGTGTGTGTGTGTGTGTGTGTGCTTTTAAGGTCATCTTATTTTGAGATACCGGTATCTCAAATCTGGATATTGGAAAGTTGATATTTTTGACATTTAAAATGGTGATTTAGTTATATTTAGGATGCTAGGTCTTTGGTTACAATTGTGAAAGTGTTCCATGATGTCATAACACTTAATTACAAAAGTATGATCTACAAGGGAAAAAATAGCAGGTTAACCTATTATTCATGTATTGCATGACAATACATTTACTCTACACTAATGCATTTTATAGTAAGAAATTACACATTTTATAGAATTAATTATTGTTACATATAGCTATTAGTTTATGCAATTATATATATTCTTTTTGCCCTTTTTTCTGAGTGATTTCTAATTCTAATCATATTTGTTACTCTTTTTTTTCTCTTTTAGATACTTGCTTTGCAAGCTGAACTAAATTTCCACAGAAAATTATATAATCTTCAGGTCACATATATTGAAGCTGTATTTGATGGGATAAAGCAAGCATACCACACATTTCAAGATAATGTTGCTATGGTTCTTTGTTCCCCGCTGCAAGGTAAATGAATATAGGTCTGGGTATTAATCACATGCAGGTTTTAAGTACTAATGTCTACTAGGGATGCATTTAAACATTAATCACCTGAAAATTCAAATTTAGAAATGTATATGTCTATTCTATATGATATTTTTGAGAAAAATCTCTAGGAAATTTTCACTTTCAATCTCTTTATGCAGATGTTTTTTCTTCTTACACAAAACTTAAAACTGGAGCATCAGAAGATGCTTTGAGAGACTTTCTCATTGCTTTTAAAAACAATGCTGAACAAATCCAATATGCTATTGAAACTTTGGCTCCATCAGCAAGTCAGCAGCGAGAAGGTGAGAACTTGTATGATAGCACTTTGTCTTGGGTTCTTCTACTGAAAAATGGTTAGTAAGAAAGCAATCTACAAACATCCTTTATTAGTGTTCTTGACCAAATATCAAATTGTTACACTGACTTACACTTATGTTCACAGCAAGATTTTCCACCTGGGGTTGACTTGAATGGATTTCACACAACCAAGAGGGAGATAAAACTTCATCCCTTCATAAGGGAGTAAAGGGAAAAGGCCGTCTGTCCACAATGGACTAGAAAATATCCATTTTCTCAAGTACTCAGTACTTTATTAATGGGGAAAAAAAGCTTGATGGAAACAAAACTCATCCAAGATCCTTGCATCAGATGTAATGTCACAATTAATTATGAGGGTAGTCAAGAGATGCAATATAATATTTAACATTAGTATGTCTTTAGTAAGGCTGACTATATGTGCCTTAATGTAAATTTGACCCCAACCTGATATTCACTTTATAGATGGAAACATGGCCAACATCTTCTAATATGTGGTTCATAAGCTTACTTTCATTTTGGAGAATGAATTGTATGCATGTGTTAAGTGGAATTTATTTCCCCATGTAAATAGTATAACGGAAGTAGAAAGCATGTCTATGATTAAAGATGAAGTCTATAATATTTATATCAGTAAGATAGTTGCCTCTGGACAAATAACATTTGACCATATCCTCTTGTTTAGAAAAGGAATTAGTCACAACTACCCAAGTGAAAGAGTAGTTCAGTCTGAGAACTAGACATGTGTAACACTAACCATTGTCTAAACCAGTGATGGCGAACCTTTTAGAGACCGAGTGCCCAAACTGCAACCCAAAACCCACTTATGCATCGTCGGGTGCCGGGTGGGTGTGGCCCATTGGCCGGGCGTGGCCCATTGGCTGGACATGGCTGTGGTGGTAACGGCAGACTGTGTGGCACTAAAAAGTTCAATCAATTCCAACTTTGCGAGATCTTTTTTTTCCCCATGAAAAGTTGAAATTGATTGATTGAACCTTTTTTTTTTTTTTGCACATGAGGGCGGAGGCCTAAAGTGAAAAGGTTTCATAAAACCCAGCTGAAGGCCTAGGACTGGGGTGACGGCGCGCGTGCCCACAGAGAGGGCTCTGAGTGCCGCCTCTGGCACCCGTGCCATAGGTTCTCCACCACTGGTCTAAACCATATTTGGATGAATCTGGATGGTACTGTTTTGCCCAGGTATCCTTCTGACATGAGGTGATACAGTCAAGATAATGCAGCAGAGAAGTTGAAACCAAGAACTAGCATAGTTAACTCTGTCATTTAAAAGTCCTTTAAGTTTAGGACTTTTAACTTCTGCCAGGTAAAATATTTTTTTAAAGACATAAACCTAGTAATCATGCAGGAATTAAGCCAAGAAATTGGGCCTATGCAAAGTTCCAAAGATTGTATGTAAAATCTGTTACAAATAGTTCTCAACTTGCAACCATTCATTTAGTGACCATTTGAAGTTACAATGGTATTGAAAAAAGTGACCGTTTTTCATACATACAACCATTGGTGCATTCCCATGATCATGTGATCAAAATTCATGGCAACTCATGTATTTCTGATAGTTGCAGTGTCCTGAGTTCATGTGATTACCTTTTGTGGCCATCTGACAAGCAATCATGTTACTAACTTAACAACTGCAGTGTTTCACTTAAACAAGTGCGGCAAGAAAAGCCATAAAATGGGGCAAAACTCACTTAACAACTGTCTTGCTTAGCAACAGAAATTTTGGGCTCAATTGTGATCATAAGTCAAGGACTATCTGCATAAGGGATATTCAGTATATTAACCCATTGATGACTAATAAATCTCTAAGCAATTGCAGAATATGTTTCTGGCTTTATTTGATAATGAAGGATAAGTATGTACATTTATTTGCTTTAACAATATAAAGGAATTATGTGGCATTGTAATATCTGGTTTTTCTACATTGAGTGTAAACCAATAAACTGGAAAAAACTAGTTATTACTAAAGCTATTTAAAACTATGTAGGTATTCAAACAGCCTGCGAGCAACTGCTGATTTAAACTGCTGATTCTACAATGTAACCCTTTGCCTTTTCAAAGGTGATGAAGCCCTGTCAAGATTTGGAAAAGAGTTCTTTCTATCTTTAGAGCAGTCACTCAAAGCCTGTGGAGAACAACGGGATAAAGCAGCCAACGAAATGGGAATCTTACAGATGGAACTGGATCAGGCTTTAGAAAAACTTCGGAATTTAAGGGAACAAAAGATGAAAAAAACAGGGACCATTCAACATTTTCCTAATCATGAAGAAATTTCAACAACAAGTTGCTTGAATGTAGTTTCCCAAAAGTCTGAACCTAATTTCCCATCTAATTTTCCTCCAACCAGACTTGACCCTTTGCTAAAACAAGCTTCTGTGGCAGAGAAAGAACCTACCAATTTGCTCCCCAAGCAGAGACTGGGAAGTTCTGATGATACAGTTATTCAGCAAAAGGGAAAAGCCCTTCATAGGAGCAAGAGTATGAAGGCCACTGAAAGGGCAGCATGGCAAGATTAGATCCTTTCGCATTTGTTATAGTTTGTATAGGGAAGCTCTGTGGTACGAAAATGAATGAGTGGGGGTCAGCTGTTGCCTTTCCAGCATCTTCTCGGTGTCACTTTAATGATTATGTAAAACGGTTTGGGAAATGGGAAACATTGGCTATGTTAAAGCAATTCTCACATTAACGGCAAAAGACATAGCAATGTGCTCAAACATCACGTATCTCTGAAGATATGTAAAAGCATTAAGTTAAATCTCTGAAATGTGATTGATTCAGACTGCTTCCTTAAAACTTGCCAGAGCCAAGTTTTACTTCCCATACATATTTATGGAATATTATAATATATAATGTGTGTGTGTTTAAGGATAAATGTGTACACACACACACTCTCTCTTTTCATATATAATTTCATCTCACAATTTTTCAAGAATTTTCAGAAGTGTATTTTAAGTAACAAAGAAACAGCTACTGGATTATTAGTATTAATCTTTGTTAGATATAATGTATATATGTAAGAAGATACAAACCATGTAATCACTTGGAAGGGAAATGAATACCCACAATAAAAGGTTTTTTGCTGTGTATCTAAGAGTCCTGTCCCACACTTCATTCTTTTACTCACGTTCTTATTAAATGCAGTAGATGTTAAGTGACATTCAGAAGCTGCGTAGTCTCCCATTTTGTTTTTTGGTGTCAGTAGAAGGACTGTCCCAAAGGTGCTTTTTTCATGAGGCAACTGGACTTTCTTGTTTTTCTTAAAGACATTTTGCTTCTCATCCAAGAAGTTTTTTCAGCTCTGACTGGATGATGAGGAATGGCAGGATTTATATTCCTTGCAGACAGCTGGTCATTTGCATTCTTTTAGCCAGTTGTTGAAGCCACTGCAGGCTTATCTGTGTCATCAGGATCACCTGAGTAGTGCAAATGAGTGTGGAGCCTTCTTAGAACTGTTGAAATGACTGTGTTGTAGACTGGAGATAGATGATGTCGTATCTCTTCCCCTCTGTTGAAAGAGGGCTGTTCAATTTTGACATAGATGGCCTCTTTGACCCCTCTTTCAAACCAGCGGTCCTCTCTGTCCAGAATGTGGACTTTGCTGTCTTCAAAAGAGTGGCCTTTGTCTTTTAAATGCAGATGGACTGCTGAATCTTGTCCTGATGGGTTTGTTGCTTCTGCCTTAGTGTATTCTTGGGTTTGAAGTATGCACATATGTTGTGTTGACTGAAGATCCTCCTGAGCTTTTCCGATATTCCTGCAACATATGGAATATTAACATTGAGATAGCCTGTTCTATTAAATATCAGTTCATAGAGTCAGTTCCACCTGATGTCTAGCCTGGATCTCCTTCCTTGTAGTTTTAGTCCAATGTTTCTGTTCCTGCCCTGTGAGGCACACAAGAAACAAAAGTTTACAGTCTCTTCTATGACAGTCCTTCAGATTGTTGAATCAAGCCAGGTGACAAAATTAGTGGACCAGAGGAATGCTGTGGATATAATTTACTTGGACTTCAGTAAGGCATTTGATAAAGTAGACCACAATCTACTACTTGATAAGATAGAAAAATGTGGGTTAAACAGCATCACCACCAGATGGATTCGTAGCTGGCTGACCGGCCATACTCAGCATGTGGTCCTCAATGGAACTGCATCTACATGGAGAGAAGTGTGTAGTTGGGTGCCGCAGGGCTTTGTTCTGGGCCCACTGCTCTTCAACATCTCCATCAATGATTTGGATGAGGGATAGATGGGAACCCATCAAATTTTCAGACAACACCAAGCTGGCAGGAATAGCCAACACTCCAGAAGATAGGCTTAAGATACAGAAGGATCTTGACAGACTTGAACATTGGATTCTATCTAACAAAATGAAATTCAATGGTGAAAAAAGTAAGGTTCTACATTTAGGCAAGAAAAACCAAATGCACAGGTATAGTATAGCTGGTACCTTGCTCAATAGTAGCAACTGTGAGAGAGATCTTGGAGTCCTAGTGGACAATCACTTAAATATGAGCCAGCAGTATGCTGCAGCTGCCAAAAAAGCCAACACAGTGCTAGGCTGCATTAACAGAGGGATAGAATGAAGATCACATGAAGTGTTAATACCACTTTACAATGCCTTGGTAAGGCCACACTTGGAATACTGCATCCAGTTTTGATCACCATGATGTAAAAAAGATGTTGAGACTTAGAAAGAGTACACAGAAGAGCAACAAAAATGATTAGGAGACTGAAGGCTAAAACATATAAGGAATGATTGCTGGAATTTGGTCTAGTCTAGTCTAATGAAGAGAAGGACAAGGGGTGACACGATAGCAATGTTCCAATATCTCAGGGGCTGCCACAAAGAAGAGGAAATCAAGCTATTCTCCAAAGCACCTGAAGGCAAGATAAGAAGAAACAGATGGAAACTAATCAAGGAGAGAAGCAACCTAGAACTAAGGAGAAATTTTCTGACAATTAGAACAATTAATCAGTGGAACAACCTGCCTCCAGAAGCTGTGAATGCTCTAACACTGGAAGTTTTTAAGAAGAGACTGGACAGCCATTTGTCTGAAATGGTATAGGGTTTCTTGCCTGAGCAAGGGGTTAGACTAGATGACCTCCAAGGTCCCTTCCAACGTTGTTGTTGTTGTTGTTATTATTATTATTATTATTACTCCCTTCAACTGTCTCTTTTTCACTCTAAACTTAGCCATATTTGTTACTATTCCTCATATGGTTTAGTTTCTATGAATAATAATTTTGACAACCAATCACATTGAGGATACTGTAAGTATAATGGAAGTAAAGTAGAAAGTGTAGATTGATTTATTGGTTTTGAACCTTTTGATGAGTTGCTGCAAAACCGGTTGCATTTTAATTTGTAAACTACAGTCTGGACATTCAAGAATCCAGGTTCCACTTATAGAAGTACCTCTATTTAGAGCTTTCATCTAATTTTCAGGTAAACACATACATCCAGCAGTCTAGCATGTGGCTAAGACCACTCTTCGGGCTATGTACAAGACTAAATCCGGCCTCTAGCTAGATAAATTTATTAAAGAATCAAGAGAATAAAATCTAACAGATGTAATTGCTAAGTATATCTGAGGACACTTGACCATCCCAGATATCATAGCATGATCAGGTTTTCATTTTTGACCTGATGTTTGAAGGCAAAAGTACATTTCATTAACTGGTAGACTTTTAGGAAAGTGGACAGATTCCAGGAAGAACATGAACTGAATAATCAGTAACTTGAATGATCCATTTTTTTCTGGATTTGTTCAGTACAATACTGACTTTGTTTAAAGCTGAGGCAAAGCTGGAATATGTTTCTAATAGTTTGTATATATGAGAAAATCCTTCATGAGAGAAATAGTATGACAAGAGGGAGGGAGAAAACAGACCAATTTAGTCACAGCTCCCATGTTCAATACTATCAGAACCACGGAATAATCTGTCAATTGTACTGTCAATCTGTGTAGATTTCATTCTTTGCACAAATGTAAATAATCAGTTGTTCTACAAGACTATTTGGAGCTGGCAAGAGTTAATGCAAAGCTGAGAGGAGAATAATTCTTTTTAGGGATAAACTTAGATGAAATCCCTAGCTACCCATGGATAGAAAACCAGTAATTTGGTTTCTCAAGACAGCAATATTATAAATGAAATTCCTATCAGAATGTTGCTAATATAGATAATCCGGGCTCTTTAGCTAAAAATGCAAATGCAAAATGTTCTGTTTCCCATTTTTGGGAAACTTGGTCTTCCAAAGGGCTTTACTTGAAAAGTACCAGCTGAACAGATTGCCTGTTCTTTTTTAATACGATTCTTGGCTTTCCTACTACACAGAGCTACAATTGGAATTCATTTGATTTTTGTATTACTATTACAAATTTTGTTTTTTTCTTCTTGGCTTACTAAGAGGAGAATTGAGACCTACTGCCAGCAGTCCTTACTTCATGCTATAAAAGTCTTTATAATCCTGCTGGCTTTCTGTGAATAATAAAGAAGCCTCTCTCTTCTTGAGTTTTCAGAACCTCAGCCACCTACCATTTCCTCTGCTCTGCATTTTAATTGGATTGTGCTTGTGTCCCCCCACCCCCACCCCAGTCTTTAGATTATCATATGATAGATATTTACTTGCAAATTATTGACTTTAACTAGTACAAATTAAAACCACAGCTTCTATAATTTTATTAGATATTTTAATCAGGAAACTCTCTTTTAAAAAAAAGAAAAGGGTTGATGCTATTTCCTCTGTCATCACAGTCATTTCAATAAAAGATTACAAATCATTAGGATTTAATTAATTTGAATATTGGAAACATGTGTCTGGATACCAACCCATAATTTATAGCAATGTTAACAGAATTAATTTTCAAAGGATTCAAACTGTTTTCTTTGAAAATCATCCACAGCATTCATTTTTAATAATAAAAATTGCTTTGCTTTGGAATTTGTTTCCTTTGAACTTACTCCAGAAAAATGATATTCAGTCCCCAATTCTAATTGTATGATACAGGTTTATGGAAATTTAGTACAATTAATTACATGTTAATGCCATATTGTGATAATAGCAAAAATCTGTTTTGTGAAGGAACACTGTATTTGTTACACAGACTGCATTTTGCATGGACAGACATAATTTTACAAATCAGGTAGGTGTAATGCAGCTTTTATAAGCTGTTTGCTTTTTTTTAGATTCTTCTAAATTTATTTATAGGCCTGTGTAGCAGACCTCTATGTGTATGTATATGTGTGTGTATTTCCATTTTTGCAAAACATAACATATCTATAGTTTCAATGTACTTTATTATGCTTATCTGTTAGCAGTTGTATGGGCTCTGTATTTTTAATTAGCACCCAAAGACTTGCCTGGATAAGCTAGTCTCTTCCAATTTGCTTATCTCAATTAGCTAATTATTTTCCATTTTTTGCTTTAAGTTAAATACCTACTGGACACTTAACAATATAACTGATTCTCAGTAATCACCTTTCCTGTATCTGTGGGTCAGCGTGTCTGTGTGCATGCCATTGAGTCAGACTTTGACTCCTGGCAACTGCCTGGACAAAGTCCCTGAAGTTTTCTTGGCAAGATTTTTCTGAAGGGGTTTGTCATTGCCTTCTTCCTTAAGCTGAGAGTGGCTGACTGACCTGGCCTAAGGCAGGATTAGAATTCATGATCTCCCAGTCTCTAGTCTTGATTCCTTAACCACTTAAGCAACCTTCCTTTGCTGATGCTTAGACTTACTATTTTATTCTAAAATATGTATAATAATGATAACGACAACGACAATGACAACGACAACAACAATAAAATAATAATAATAATAATAATAATAATAATAATAATAATAATAATAATAATAATAATAATAATAATAATAATGATCATAATAGAGTTGGAAGGGACCTTGGAAGTCTGCCTCTGCTCAGGCAGGAAACCGTATACCATTTCAGACAAATGGTTGTCCAGTGTCCCCAAAGGCATTTAAGCAACCCCCGAAAGTGGGCGAGGGAGAGAGAGAAAAGTTGGTGGGCTTTAAAAAGTGACCAACTAAAGCAGTCCCTTGTGGGTGAGTGGCCATAGTGAGCCTTTC